GATCAAGATTCAGGTGCTCGGCAACTGGTTTGCGACGGCCGCAGCATCCCCGGGGTCACGTGATCCCCTTTTGTGATCTCCCGACAGGCAAAGTCAATGGGGAAGCCAGATTCACTTAACGTCCATGTTACAAACGACTGCAGTGATTCACTTAACAACTTGGCAACACGCGGCAAAACAACTGTTTCACTCAGCAACAGAGATTTTGGGCTCAATTGTGGTCATAAGTCGAGGACTGCCTGTACTTCCCTGTTGGTGAGGACTGCTGGCCGTAGCTATCCCCCTGAAGCCGTGGACGGGGTGGGTGGGGGTGGCCTGGGCCGCCCTCCTGCCTTCGCTGGCCCTGGTAGGGCTGTTTCCCCCAGGAGAGGTCCTTATTCACGGCCCCTGGCACGGAGCCCGGATCGGGATTGCAGCCACATCCAGTCAAGGGGTATAAATAGCTGCTGAACCAAGCGGAATTGGAGCCCCGGAGCCTTCCACCGCCCTGCCCTGCCCCCCCGAGCAAGGACAAGGGGCTTCTCCTTCAAGGCGTCTGGCCCAGGCTAAAGAGCCCCCCCCCCCCCCACGACACAAGGACCCTCTCTGAGAAAGCCACCCCTTTATTGCTGCTGTTTTAATAAGGTCTTAGCTACTGCTCTGAATTGCAAGAGGGGCCACACTGGGCATGATTGTAGTTGTAGTCCAAGGTTTCCTATTGGCTTTGTTTCAGACACACGAAAGGAACTAACATTTCCCCAGCCAGAGAACAGGTGGCCTTTCACAGGCTCGACCGACAGGCGGCATGCGGGCAGTCCTCTTTCATTTAACTCCGGGGTCTCCAAACTTGGCTTGTGGACTTCAACTCCCAGAATTCCTCAGCCAGAATACGAGTTCCACACCTCATAAAGTTGCCAAGCTTGGAGACCCCCGGAGTGAAAGGGTGCAGCCCCACCATCAGCATCACCCTTTCCCCAAATAAAGGGAGGGGTGGGAATGAAGGCCCCTGCCTCTCAAATAGGGTAAGGGGCCTGCTGGCTCGCTCTTGAGATCGTGAGTCCACAGAGACACCACCACCCCCATAGCATCTGGAAGAGAGCGGCATTTGGCTTTCCAAGCTTCAAATCCTCTTGGCCGTGCTTCATGCATAAGAGCAGCACCTGAACTCAGAACTCCGGAGACGAGGAAAGACATGCTCACCCACCCCGGTTCATACGGAAACAGCCGCTCTGGAAAACAGTCCCCGAGGCAGCCTTGCCAGCCGGAAGGTGGACGCTGATGGCACGCCTGGCCCCGAGTTAGTGGCCAGTACAAGTAGCTCAAAAAGGGAGGCTCCACTTCCTCTCCTCACTGGCTCTGACTGTGCAGGGTCAGCCAGAACCGGTCACTTTCGGCCCCTCAACCCCCCCCCCCCCAAGCAGGCCTCTGTTGCTCACCTTTCTGCTTTTCTGCTGGGCATCCAGCGCCCCATTTCGCAGCCGCTGCCTCCCCAGCCCCTCCCTTTAAGGCTGCAAAGCTAACTCCGACAGGCAGGACCAAGCGAGGCAGGCGGGGGCTCCGGAGGGGAAGAGGCTGCTGGGATTCGTCAGCTAAAAATAGCACCCTCCCCCCCCCACCTGCGCTTCCTCAGCCCCGTCCCCTGAGCAGTGCCCCCTTCCAGCCCAGAACTGGTGCCCGGGGAGGTTCCCACAGAGCGGCAAGGAGCCTGGAGCAGTGAGAAAAGGGGATCGCCATGGCGAGCACAGGTGGGTCGTGTGTCCCCCCCCCCCCCCGCAGTTAGGATTGTGCCCTACGAGCTTTGCCAGGCAGGGGGATCGGGATGTGGGGAAGATCCTGGTTGAGCTTGTTTTTTGAGGAGGGGGGGATTTTAACTGAGTGGGGATCCGGTCTGAAGGGAGGCGGCCTTTGGGGGAAGAGGAGTGAGAGGGGCATCCCGTAAATTGGGGAGCCAGGACATACGTCTTGTAGGGTGCAGATGCCCAGAGCCCCCAAACTGCCACACTGGGCCTGTTCAGCCCTCCAGCCCTCCCCCCGGACCACCCGTGCCTCCTCGGATTCCTTAAGCGACTGGGCTGCATCTGGGCCTGTCAGTTAAGGGGGAGGGGGAGAGTCTGCAACAGCTGCCAGGGCCCTGGGCGTCTCGCCCTCCCCGCCTCCTCTCTCCCGATGGGTGGGGTCCCTTCGCGCCATCTTTGCAGAGCAGGAAATCCTTTGGAGCGACGACGGCGGCTTCTCTCTGGGGAAGAGAAAGTGGAAATGCCAGCCAAAGCCCGTCTTCCACTACTTAACACCCCCCCTCCCTCCCCCCCCCCAGGGGGGCTGCATCTGCAAGTAGTTGCGTCCAGTGTGGAAGCCCCAGCAAGGAACTCGCGCCGGGTGCTTGGCAAGGGCAGCCACACATGGCAGGGGGCTGTGGGGCGAGAGGCGGTTGGCATCTCCTTTTTAGGAACATGGCAGAGGGGCTTAGAGCTTGGTGGGGGACGTGGTAGCTGCGCCAATGTGGGTCGGGGAGATGCTGCTGGGGGTTGAGATTTCCCCCTCAGGCATCCTGGAATGGGAAGCGGGTAAGCAGACCAGGCTGGTGGTTAAGTTAGCATCTGTTGGGGGGAAGCTTCGGACCACAAGTGAGCAAATGTTTAAAGGGCAAGAAATCTAACCAGAAGCAGCAGCTGCGTCCTATTAATCAGGGCCCCTCTGCCCTCCGTCTAAGGTGGAGCAGACTTTACTTAACGTTAAACATGGGTGGAGGATGGGGGGGGAACCTTCATAGCTTCATAGGCTTCTTATTCAGCCCCCGAACCCCATTTCCAGGATAAACACAGTTTGGGGTCCAGACTGAACTTTTGAAACCAAACTTCTGGGAGTTGAAGTCTTAAAGTTCCCAGGCTGGACTCGGTTCTTCTGCTTGAGCAGGGGTTGGACTAGAACAGTGTTTCTCAACCTTGGTGACTTTACGTCCTGTGGACGTAAAGTCACCAAGGTTGAGAAACACTGTACTAGAAGACCTCCAGGGCCCCTTCCAACGCTGGCGTTGTTGTTCTGCTTTTGCCTGCAGTGGCCGACTTGGTGTACTGGCGGGACACCCGCAAATCCGCCTTGGCATTCACGGCGCTGATGGTGGCCCTGCTCTGCCTGATGCACTTCAGCATCATCAGCGTGGCCTCCTACCTTTCCCTGGCCGCCCTCGGCATCACCATCTCGCTCAGGGGATACAGCAAGGTGCTGCAGCTGGTCCGCCGGGGAGACGGGCACCACCCCTTCCAGTGAGTAAGCAGCAGGGCTGCCCTGGATGCTCGCAGGATGTGGGGGAAGAGCCAGCCAGAGGGATGCCTCCATGCTCAGCTCTTCTGGCTTGGCTGGCCTCGGGGGTTCCCCCTGGGGGGGCACGAGCAAGACAGCAGCCCCCCCCCCCGACACCAGGGATGGTGCCCTCCCCCAGTTTGAAGTGGATGAATGTGGGCCCCTTGCTTTGCCCTCCAAGGGGGCTGCTGTT